TTTAAATGCGTATATGGAAACACGTACTTAGGGAGGAGCAATGGGGTGTGACAGAATCGCTTACGTGCTGTTTGGGTTTTTGATGAAACATAGAACTTGTCTTTTCAATAATGACATGTTGAGCTGCATAAAATGTTCTGTTGTTGGCTAATTTAGAGGTAACTCAAAGAGGCTCATATTGAAATGGAGACACAAAATTTTAAAATAACTCAAGGAGGAATCGATGTTCAAAACATTCATCTTTAACCACTTATTTGATGATAATGCATGTTCATTACCCTGTATCGTAAACTAATCAATCACGAATCAACAAAGTAGGTGCACACAAGTTCAGAAATTAACGAAGCCTATGAAATATAATAACCAGTCGAAATTTTCTTCAATCTACACATGTTAATCAACAGTGGTGTGTATAAACATATAATGGATACATTTTCCAGAGCTTATGAAAAATAAATAGTATGTCAAAAACATCCATACTTTATAATTAAAAGAGATGAGTATTATGAAATGACCATTAATCCAGCAAAAGATATCTGTTTTTTTAATCTAAGAGACAAATGATTCAGGCATTAGGATACCTTGGTCATTATAATAGCTTAAAATTTTGACTAATTTATTGTTTTATGCAACATGAAACTTCGTTATATATTCCTCTTTAATCTACTTACTAGAACACGAATATAATGTTCCATTATAAAAAAGAGAAATTTCAATCTTTCTTCATATTTAAAAGTGGTTTCTATTGTGAACTACATAATTTTTCCGTATTTCATCTTATAAAGAAAGCTATTGTTGCCATAATTTTTGTGACATTTACTATAATAATGACAAAATACATTTAGAACAATAACTGGTATTCATTTTAATTCAGTAGTTGTTTAAATCTTCCCATTGATGTTTAGGACTGCAATTAATGAGTTTGATATTTATGTTTATTTATAAACGCATTATTATGTTTAGGAAAAATTGTTAATATTTGAAAAGATGAATTTCATTATTTAGACTTCAAACAGTGCATAGATATATATTACAAACTAGCTGGATTATACAAAACGATACGTGAGATTGAGATTCAGAAGACAGTCCCCTGAATAAAAGCTAATCTAATCCAACAGTGTCTAATTTAGTAAGCCATCTGATTATATGATTTATGGATTTCGTTGTAATAGAATACTTAGACATGATTCATTATGTAATCGGAGTCACTGAATAATATAATACTAAACGTCTAGCGTGAAATGTAATGAGAAAAAACACGTGTGTATATAATCGTTACTCGTTTTTTCACTTGTTGATTGGTTGTGAAAATTTCGATCAATATTAAAACACTTTACGTTACACACCAATTTGAACCAAAGACCCATTGGAAAGCAAACACTTAAAAGCTATTCCATACTATCATGAAACATTCCAGAAACACTCACACATGACAAACCTAGTAAGTTTATGTCTAATTGATTGCGTTATTTAATGATCAGTGAGTCGTGATTCAATGGTGTACACACTGAACCTTAATCAGAGAGAGAGAGAGAGGAAAGAGAGAAATTGTAATCTCTATAAAGTAAAGAAATACAAAAGCAAATATAAAATACTTGAAGTTAAGCGTTCGCACGCGAGACCGAAGGTACTGGGTTCGAATCTCACGTACGGGTCGCGGATGCGCACTGCTGAGGAGTCCCATACTAGGACGAAACGGCCGTCCAGTGCTTCCAGGTTTTCCATGGTGGTCTAGCTTCAACTGACTCATGAGTTCAATCTGTGAAAATTTCTAAAAATCTCCACAAAACACATTCTGATAATAAATATAAAATACTTGAAGTTAAGCGTTCGCACGCGAGACCGAAGGTACTGGGTTCGAATCTCACGTACGGGTCGTGGATGCGCATTGCTGAGGAGCCCCGTATTAGGACGAAACAGCCATCCAGTGTTTCCAGGTTTTCAATGGCGTCTAACATTGACCCATTCATGATTTAAATCAAATCTTTATTTATTTGTTTAACTTGCTCAAATACAAATCATGTGCATTGCGGTTAAATATATAGAATGCTACCCATATTTTCCTAATTAACAATTTTTAATAATGTTAAACAGTTTCAGTCTCGGAAATCATGTTGGTTTTGTTTACTTTTACGGTGAATTTTGGGTTGTCTGAATTACATTAATTAAATAGTGTCAGACGAATATCAAACATAACGATGATGACCTTAAGTATTTTACACCGTGACCAATGCGAATGCATAATATATTATGCAACAATTGTTTTATTTTCTGGATAAAATCTTTAATTAAGATAGATTACATTTTATAAAAGAAGCACGTAGTTTAAACACAAGGAATTCTATGCTGACCACCGATAAAACTACACGATTTTCCATTAATGGTTAGAGCTAGACAAGAATACAACTATTTAAATTCTTTTACAAAAAATCTGTTCTGATTTGGATAATTAATGAATAAGTTTGTTTATTTAAGTTAGACACAACGCTCAACGATAACGAAAATCTTGAAAGTAAATTCGATGATTATTCAAAGAAACAAAAGCTGCTCACAACCCACTGATAACTGAGTATTGATTGATGACCTATTTATCTGTTTTTTTAATGATGATTGAATTCTACCAATCAAATTACGTGGCAATTAGCCTAAGTTCAATATGTTGAGATGTTATTTAGTTAGAGGCACTCGAAGGGAAATCTTGACCTAGGTTTTCGTGCTATTTGGCGATGATCAGTAATTTTCAACTGTTATCCTGAGGGTATTGGTAATCCCCTGTGGATTTAAACCCGCATCATTCAGCTTACCGCTCGAGGACGTCACTACTGAGATAGCCGAGTTTATATATAATAGAATGTTGGTATTCAGCTGATCATAAAATTCTTAACAATACAAACTTATTATTTAGTTTGTCTTGAACAACAACATCGTCATAAGCAATTTCGGAATGCAGCAGTATCGAAATACTTCTACAAATACGTAGTCATATGGATACAAATAAAGCTTCGAAAGATTGTAATTCAAATTTTTAAAAAAGGAAAACAGATTGTCGTTTCTTAGTATATTTAAACATGTGATTTCTGTTTAAAATATATAAATAAAACGAAATACACTTAAATGTTTTCTTTAACTTATTGACTATTCCCTTGTGTTATTTACTTCCATTGTTAATTAATTAAAGGTTCGAAGGCAAAAAGGTGACATCATATTAGTTCTTTTCAACAGAATAAAATTTTATTTACATGACAATTTAAGAACCAACATGTTCACAACATCCATTAATATGAACTTAGCATTTGATTCTTGTATAATATAGTTTACTAAGACCGAACAACTACCGAGTCATCCTTATTACATAAATTTATTATTCATTCGACAAACAAGGAGTAGGAATATTAAGGTTAAGGAGACCACCAATAATGACAGTTAGGTCCTTGTTCATTGGTTAGCAAGTTGAGTACATAAATAGTTATTATCACTTTTGTGTATGAAATAATGTGTCATTTTACTAAACAAAATACACTTTCAGCTGTCATATGTTTCGCTCTTTGATGACTTTAGTCTATAAGTGAATTTACTACTCTACCGTGAACTTTAAAATATAAGTTTCAGATGATTGCGTTCTAAAGTAAGATCAAAAACTTCGATTATCAAAAATTTAGTACTGAGATGAAATTATATTATATGAAAAAGTCATATTTGTAACCTAAACATATTATATTTTTAAGGTTCTCGAAAATTTTAGACCATCATTCAATGCTATCAGCTCTGGTTGCCTTTCTGAACATTATCAGCGCTTAGTTCAAGTAGAGGTGAGTATAGCAACTCTCCTACAATCAATTTCGATTATGATTAAATTTTGTCAAGCACTTTTATTAACTTAACAGACAATGTTGTTCGAACAGTAACCATTCGCATATTTCTTCGTAATATTATGACCACTATCACATGTACGCTTGATCACATGACAGTCTACGCACATCTCTCTCTAGCTTAAATGTTAGTCACTTAAATATCACTTGATGATTTATTCTCTTTCCAATGCATACATGTACTTCTATTATTAGCCTTACCTTGCCTAACTGCACACGATTCGATTTGACTATAAATTCGCCTCTGTATTTGCTTGCATACATATATTCACTTCTCTGTTTCAAATTCCCTCTATGTGTTTGTAAATTTGTTATCCATGCTATCCTCTAATAAATTGTAGTTGCCGCTTCTTATTTCCTTCTGATATCAAACACTTATTAAGGTGATTGATTAATGAAGCTAAGCCATTACATAACCTTCTTAATAGCTCCGCTAGACGAGAATCAATTTATTCTAGTGGTCATGATTGTAATTAATTCATGATTGATACATATTATCATTCATATCAAGTTGTACATCATAAACAAACTTTATTTCTTATTGAAACCTAGAATGAATATAATTATCGGGCATATTGATCTAATTCAAATACAGTCTAGTTAAAAAGTGATGATTTTCAACTAATTAAATGTACGGAACATATGTTAGTTTAAAAGATTATGCACCTTTTATTTGATTTAAATATAATAATTATCCTCTTAGTGATAAAAAGTGTTTATTAGATTTCTTTTTATAAAATAGGTTCAAATATACATAAATCAAGATATATATCCTATACATATGTATTTCTAAAGTATACAAACATAATAGAGATCAGAAATAATAAATTTAATTGATGAAATAAATTATTTCGAACTCATCTATTATTAATGATTGTTAAGGATTATAATATTGTCCTTTTTTCAGTAAAGAAAACATATGAACAATTACATAAATCAGAATTAGTAATTAAGATGAGTAAAATATATAAGTATCCAACTAATGATCAAATGAAAAGAATCTTTAGTTTATTTGTTCACAAAAAGAAAAAGAATAAACACTGAAAATAACAAAAAAAAGAACAAAAACAAACAAAACAATGCAAATAAGTAGTATATTAATGTTGTTTGAATCTGTGTTTTTGAAATTTCTCATAATGTCATATTATCCATTAATAAATGAGTTATATTATTATTAGGTTGTAATAAATAATTATTTATTGGCATAATACGTATACAAAATGATGATTTATCTAATGAATTCACTTGTTCATTACAATATGTATACCATAATGGAATAGAATAGAAGAAACGTATATACAATGATATAATAAGTAGTATTAAAAAAATAAAAAATATAATACATTTAAACCATAAATAATTTGAAGTTAATTCTATACATTTTATGTTTTTGGAAAATTTCATCTTATGATATTGTGATAAATTTTCTGTGATCATAGTAGATTGTTCAAATAATGTTAGATTGGAAGCTAAATTAAAATTAGAAAACATTCCATAGATGATTTGTAGTTTAATTAGGTAGAAAGATAATATAATTGAAATCATGTTACATATAATCAAGTTACGTAATTTTTCTTTTAATGATATTCACTATTAAGATTACATAATCTAGATCAATAATGTGTTTGTGTAAATTTAACCTTTTGAGTGAAATAACTGAAACAACAAAATTACTTTTACTAGTATAAGGGTTGTAGAGATTATTACATTTTTGATTGAGATCATGAACTGATTGATGTTAGACCACCTTTGGAAACCTGGAAACACTGAACGGCCATTCCCGCTCGCAGGATTCGAAGCCGTGACCAGTGGAGCTAATCCATGTCGGGTAGAGACAGGTATCTACCTCAGTACAACGGAAGTTGGTCGCGCAATTTCGTGGATTGGTTGATGTTAGAAACTATCGCCATTGGATGCCGGATCAGTGGTCCAGTTGGTTAAGCGTTCGTGCGCGAGACCGAAGGCCCTGGGTTGAAATGCCGCAAGCGTGATCGTGGATGAGAACTGCTGAGGAGTCCCACAATAGAACGAAACGGCCGTCCAGTGCTTCCAGGTTTCAAATGGTGATCTAACATCAATCAGTTCATGATCTCAATCAAAGAATTACTTTTTTATGTTCTTTTCGCCTGTAAACGTAGAATGTATGTTTGTATCAACGCTTATTCTTCTAATAGACAGGTGGTAATTCAGAGTGTTTACTTATCTAAAGACTCTTACTAATTTTTACCCAAAAAGGGGCACACTCAATTCCGCTCGATATGTTTATTAATTTTAACATCAGAAATTGGATTTATTCCATCTGTCTATAATACCATCAGTAAAAAAGGTATTTAGAATAACTTACAAGACTTGTCAGTTAATCGTGGATATAAGTTGAAACGTCTTTTTTTGGTAATTGACGTTAAAAACTACAAAGGTTATAAGTCGCACTATAAAGATGTAAGCAATCTTGAATGAAATATATTCTTATTGACATATCAGCCACTCAGACGAGTAATTCAACCACAAAAGTAAACACATTATGTATGCTTTATTTATTAAACTATACAGAAGTAGCATTTATAAATGCTATGTCGTTACAAAACGGTATGCATGACTGTATAAAATAGTTTTGAAGAACCTAGTTCTGTTACTTGAATTACATTATATATCTGACTAATTAAATATAATCTTTTGAAAATATCTTTGTCAACGAGTTCGTTATCAAGAGAGCAATTTTATGATCTCGTGCTTCATACAAATACAGTCTCAATACAAGTATTTTTTATAGTTTTTATTTAATTCACTGTACTTATATCATACAGCTGAGTAATTAACTATTTTTGTTCAGATGTTCATACTTGATTTCTGATCCATAAAAAAATAGATTAATTGTATCACAACAGACTTCTTGGATAACCCTGCAATTATTTCTTATGTTTAAATCATTAACACTACTTTATTTAATCGTCCTAAGATTATAAAATATGAAAAATCTAGCTTTACCTAAAACTGACTCGTGAATACACATAGGAAAGCTTTTTTTGAAAATAAGCCCTGTGACGTAAGAAATGGTGGTAGTAGCATAAAATTCTAGCCAAATGTAACTTCGAAAACATTCATTACGCTTCAATACCATTATCTGTAAGAGTTTATGATGTTGTTGCGTTGTTGATGTTAAGTGCTACAAGTGATCATTATTCAGTGAGATATGTGTATCTTAAACGGATAGTCTTCATTTGCCTTTAAGTCACAAGTTTTTCATAATTATTTTTTAACGAATTATTTCTCCTTTCGTTAGCTTAGAAATAAAGCATTAGTATAATATGTTTCAATTTAATGGATTGTTTTCACTCTATCTTTTTATTGAAACTTCTCAGCATCTCTGATTTAATGCTTACTCGTATGTATATTGATAAGGAGAGCCAATAAGAAATAGTCTAATAAGAAAGTCAATAGATGTCAATTAGAAGTGACCTAAAGGACAAGTGCATTTCATTGGATAAGAAATGGATCAATCCCTTAAGGATTAGAATGGTATATATATCAATGAGTATTTGTTCATTTTATTCAGTAACGCGATACACTTTCTCTCTCACTCTTGTGATCTCGTCCAAGTAGTTATTTGAAAAGTTATTGTGTGGCATACCATGCATCACTATCAGATTTTGGACCGTCCGCCAAAACATTTATGACTTAGTATAAGACTGATTTGTCTGCAAAATTTGCTCTCCTCACTAAACATTCAGTGAACGAAAAGTAAAGTTCAAGTGTCAGTATGGTTATCCTGAGATTAATGAATTATACAAAGAATACTTCATAAATATCACTCACCATCAGCACTTTCATTTTTTATATCTAAGCAGTGATATTTATATTGTTCATTATTATTTGTCGAATAAACAGATGATATTTCTGTAACATTGTTTCTAGCCTAAAATCAATCAATAAAAATAAGTCGATCTTGGGAAATTTGAAATATAGTCCAAGGAAGTTTAAAATATCAGCAACTGTACCATTTTTGTTATATTTCAAATATATACAAAGACATTAATTCTTCATAATAGGGATAATGTTTCTGTCTGGATTTTTGTAAATACGAATCAAATTGCAAATTTAAGAATAACTGTGCACTAGGCATTTATGAAATTTTACCAAAGAATTGTTAAAATAATATTCGTCAATATGGGGTTGTAAAGACTGTTTAGTTTTTATCGGTATCCTAAACCGATCAATGTTATTCAACCATCATATACTCACTGATGACTACTTCCAAGAGATAATTCTCGGAGTTCTTGTGAGAGGTCACGACCAATGGAGTTCAACCGTGTCGGACGTGAGGCAGTTACTCACCGAAGACAATGGATGATGGTCGCTCAATATCGTGCGTGGATTGGTTGAAGTTAGTCATGAACACCATCGAATGCCGGATCAATGGTCTAGAAGTTAAGCATTCGCGTGCAATATCGAGGAACGTTTTTTGTAGTTAATAGAAGATAGTTTTACACAAATAAGTATATATTTTCCTTTCCTGAGTTTGTCTGTAGAAATAGTTAATACAGACTAAATGAATGTTATATTTACCTTTCAATCTATGTATCTCTACTTTTTCTGGGGATTTTGTTTTTGATAACAAATCTCTAACCAATACTCTGATAGCAGAAAGTCAGGATTGTCAGAAGCTGTATTTTTCAAATATTAAATGCAATATATAAAAATACAACGCCAACTAAATGGTGTTGATTCAAAATTAAATAAAGTGCAATTATATGAATGAGTAAATGACGTTTGTCAAAGAATTTATTAAATTACATAAAGAGTAGGATAAAAATTAAAATGTAATGACATCACTTAATCGGATATTCAAAGCTTAAATCAGCAATTAAATAGGGGCATATTCGCTTTTTTTTTACATTATTTAAACGTGATATTAACACATAATAGTTAAAAGTGAAAGAGCTAAAAAAGATCATAAACTGAGACCTAATGATACTGTTTGATGATGAACTCACTTATAATATCAAAAAGATCAATATTAGGTATCTATCTTTTAGACAATATGATCAAACCGAATGATTAAAAAATTACTAGTTTCAATAAATCTACTAGAATCTCAATAAAGTCTGCCCAAGATAGTATACAGCATGATAAAATGTATACAATTAAACAGCTGCTATCTAGTTTGTGTTCAGATTCAGCAGGAGTAGATTTATTTTAAATACTTTTATATTTCTAGTTAAAACAGTTAGCCTTTCCACAACTCCTCATGTTTCTAAAATCATTAGAACCAGTAACATTATTAATTTCACTTACAGTATAATACTAAACACATAAACAATAACACTGAGAATGATTATAAATGATTTGGATAGGTGCATACGAAGAAATTTATTTTCGCATTTCAATGTGATTATTTAACAGACTAAACGAAATTAAATGATCTTGTTAAACTTACTTGTTTAACTTGTTTAGTCCAATCTGTTCTCAATGCAAGTATTGTGTAAACCATAGTTGTTAATCCAAAACCAATGGTTAAACCTATCCATGATCCTGATTATGATGACATTGAAAATAGAATTTCTTATTACTATGAAAGTGTTTTTTAAATAAAACTTGAAATGATGGGATAATGAATTGTTCATTCAGTATATTACACACTAGTGTTCACCTATTTGCAACAATGTAATAAATACTACTAGTTTAATCTACTTTTTGTTGAAAAAATTCATAAAATTAGAAACTAAACATTTAAAATACCAACTTTCATGTGTAAAAATTACTCCACTATTGTTTTTCAAACTCCGCCCATGAATAACAGATATAGACACTAACAAAATCAATACTTGCCTCAGTAGTCTATAGCACACTGAAAAATGATTGAGAATATCCCCAACACAGGTGAATACATATGGTGGTATTGTGTTCTCTGAGCTGCATGGAGTAAGTGTTGTAGAAAATAAAATTTTAGCAGTTCAACCACATTGTTCAACGATCGCAACACTACCAAAAACACCCATAAGATCTAGCTGCACGTTGTAGTTTCTAGTAATACGTTATCAGGAGTATCCCTGAATTGTTTGATGAGGTCCTTGAGACTATCGTAACCAGTGGTTGAAGACTCTGGGTGACATGGTTCAGAATCGATCACAATGATCTAGAAGCATACACTCTTTGTCTTCCCTTAAATTGTGAGATCACAATTACTTCATACCTTTCTTCCTAGTACTAATTCTTTCTTCCTGTATCATATCCTTATGCTCAATCTTTGTTTATATATATATATATATATATATATATATATTGATACCACTGAAGTAACTACTTTTATGAATTTACTGATCGTCTTGTTATGCTAATGAGCTATTAAAACTTGAACCGATTCATATATGTGCCTGGTCCTACGTTGTTGACGACTGACTGACTAATCCTTGAATTGTATGATTTTCATCATTAAATACTGTAGTCTTCCAATAAGTACGTGTACAGCACATTTTCAAAGTATGAAAATTTTCATAATAAACAATTAACATTAAAATTTAGTAAAGTCTTTAGTATCTGGGTATCCCACTACAGATACTGCTAATGACCATAATGGCTAGACGCCGATCTCAGTCTTTGGACCATTAGACAATAGAAGAGAATGCAAATTGAGTACTGACATGTGTTGAATTGTTTAAATTGTAATCATTATGGATTTGATTTATCATTATTTACACTTGTATTGATCATAAAAAATACAATCAAAGAAAAGTTATTTTCCAAACACCAGTGTAATAGACCACTTGATGAACAAGTCTGAAAAATATTTACAAGATTTTAAAGGTAACTGTTTATTTATCAGTTACACTGGACTTTTTTGAATTAATTTTCATCATCAGGAAAAGTTGAAGTGTTAAGCGACTGTTCGAATGGTTTGCATCAGTAGCGTTCTTTTTTTTTATGACATTTTATTTAAAGCAAATACATTTTTTCTAAAATTTGATGCTAATATTTTTGAAATTTACGTTTCACTAATCAGTGCGTTTGTAAAAACTGTCTTACTAACTTACGCCTGTTACCTCATGAGAAGAAGCATAGGCCGCCCACCAAGATTCTCCATTGAACTCAAAATCTATGTCTACTTAAAAGTAAAGTGATCACTCTACTATTGATCATTTGAAGCTACTTATCCATCAACTATGTACCCAAAAACACATTCATGCATATAGACAGACTTGAACATGAATTCGGTCAAAATTCTGCATCCAGACTTTAAAAAACCGGAGAATTTCTAGAGGCATAGGATGAAGATCGATTGGCAAACAGTAGATACATTGATATATACACGGTTTATCAACGCTTCAATAAAACATCAGTCAGCCAAATGGTTACAGGTAGGCCGAGAAAGCCTGTTAACAGGACTGTACACTTTTCTTTGCGACAAGAGGCTTTAGTAACTCAAATATCTCTCATCAGAATAAGAGGACAATCTTATATAGTCTGAATTTGTGATCAATATCTTAAAGTACGTTTTTAGAACATTCTATGGTGTAAACCTATTTCGTTGTTGAGATACGGCTTCTAGCAATTTCCCAGTATTTCCAACTTTCGATTTATTTTATTGCCTGGTTTAGGTTTAAACACATGAATATAAGTGCTCTTCTTTTTATAAGAATATGTCTAGTACGAACTAAGAATATTATTATCAAGAATGATTTAGTCTAATCAGCTTTTTAATATGTTAAATTTTACGCAATGTTCACAGAGAATGCAATCTTAGATTTCTGCAAAATATACTAAATATTATTAGATATTTAACACAAATTAACTTTGTGTAAAAGATTGCTATACTTTTTAGTGGTTTACAAACTAATAAATAAATCATGTATGTTTTTGGTCACTGGCGATAAACACATAGTTTTCAATTGCCACTCACATTCTTTCACTAGATCAAAGGTAAAAGATGTTTTTAGCCTCAATTCGTTAAACAGATGTAAAATACTTGGTTGGTCTTTTAAAAAAATAAATCGTTCAATCTGACTTGTTCTGTAATAGCGAGAAATAATCATTGGGCTTCATGAAAATTAATTTGCTATATTAAAGAACATGATTAGTTCAAAGCCTGTATGGTAGTTGTGGTTAAATAACCTAGGAGTGAAATACCTTTGAAACGTTTGAGAATTTCTTGACTGATAATCTATCAATTAAATAGTACGCTGAGAAACTTTGCAGATGTTAACCTAGATCACTTTTCTTAAATAAATTAACAAACTTAATGACTTTAAAGCGTTGTTCAACCTAAGATTTGAACGTCACGTACATTTTGTGAAAACACACTGCTATATTGCTAAAGACGTCAGTAACTCTTATAAGTCCCATGAAATCTTATCAGTTGGACTAGTTAGCAAATAGACCTATGGTAATCAAGATACTTTCTGTTCACTCAAAAATTAAAGTTTTTGGACTTAACACTTCTTAGTACACGGTTTTACACGATAATTTCAACTAACAGGTATCTAAGTAGACCAACTTCAGTGTTTAGAACTGCAATAAGCTTAGAATGATGCTTCAATGTCTACATCCGCCATAAAATGTTGACAATTTTTATTATAAGTACTTCTGTTGCTTATTTGTTATTTCCAATATTTGATAGTGACCGTGTACAGTCATAATAGACTAAAGATTCTAAAATTATCTGAAAAAAAACATTCCTTATATTAATAGCATAAAAATATAGATAAAGTATATTTCATATAAATATTCACAGGTCATCTTTATTACAAGCTCTCCATAGACATAGAGCATTAGAATTCTACAACATGGATTTTATATTCTAATTGGATGTTTCTATAAATATTAAAAATGTCACGGATTTCATATTAAGTTAGATGGACAGTGTTTACAATATTGTGGAAGAATAATTTTTTAACTAAAAGATTATGGTAATATCTTTGTAACTAAATAATTCATTAATTACAATGATTCATTAGCTCTTGGTTAAAATCCATTTATAATATAAGCTTACCTAATATTCCAAGTGATGTCTGATAAGTTAGTATTGCAGCAATTGGCATTCCAGTGCAATAATAACCTAAAAATATTGTAATTGCTCCAAGACTTTGACGCCCACAAGCTAGTAAAATAGCCTCTGATACACCCTGCCAAGTTAATAAACAATAAATTTAAATCAAGAACAAATCCATTCTTAAAACTCATTTTTTTATATAAAAGATATTCGAAACAAATATATTGTCAAGCCATTAGCTTGTTAGTCATTTTAAATGAATATCTATCATTAATTTAAAACTATTAAGCTATTAATATTTAATGGCGATATTTGAATAAGTAAATAATTGTCCTTGGATATATTTGTAATGGCTAATGTGAAATTAAATGGAAGTGAAGAAACTTTCTCTGACTATATGTATTACCTATCCCAGTTCACCTAACAGTTTAGTTACTGGGCTAACAAATTTGTCTTGTAACCTAGATAAGTCATATTCACTTTAGAAGCCTCTAAGTTTTCACAGAAAATAATTTCCTTGTCAAAAACAGTGATAATTGTTTGAATAAAACGTTTGATAAAGATGTGTCAGAAAAATCCTAATTAGTGTCCTATAAGAATAATTTTAGCTAAACAGGTTTCAATCATATTTAATTAGTGACCAAGTTATTAATTAAACTTAGGTCTGATTTAATTTTAAAACTGATTAAAAGTTTTTCATCTTTTCATATTCAAAAGAGAAAACTTGGGAAATTCACCTTCATTTTATGAATTAATTAATCATGTAAATTCAAGTAGAATATCGTAAAGAATAGTTGTAAGTCATGATAATTTTGAAAGACGGTATAAACATTTACAATCCATTAGGTCATAATAATAATCCGTTAGTATCTGTTTACTTTTTTCATATTCTTTAGGTATTAAGATCATTTTATTAACTATTTGGATTATAAGTTGAATAAAGTAATAATGTAAGTATTATTCATTAGTTTTCAGACTGATTCAAAACAAAACCGCCATTATGTGCATTAAGAATTCATAAACTAATGATTACTCTTTTTTCTTTGCTAAATGTTTATTTACAAACATCTCTGAATGTCCAATATACAAATTTTCTTAGTTTTGTTCTTCTACAATATAATAGGAACCTGAATAAGACACTTCATTATAGAATCAAGACCATATGCTCTCTAGACGTGGTTGAAAATGAAACAAAGATATTGTATACGACCCTGAAAGAAAATAGATATCCGGAAAAATTTATAAATAAACATCTAGCTAAAAAAAAGAGAATAAAGAAGACCTAACTGTGAACGAAAGCCTTTGTATTTGCGCTTACAATTTAGAGGCGATGTATCCAGCGATATGCTTATACTAAATCTGAACAGAGCAATTCAAAGAACAAACAAGCTACAATTATTTTTTTCTTCATATCCGGCGTTTACTCCGAGGTTGAAAGATGAATTACCTAGACCGGTCACTTCTTTCTATATCTATCAATTCAACTTCTATTGTGGAGCAAGTTGGCAGGTGTTCTAAGAATTAGTATTTTCGGACTAACGAACACCTCCCAGTATGGTGAAGTAAATGTATATTTAAAACTATAAACAGCTCAATTTTAGTTCATTTAGTACAAACGGGGCAAACAATCAGCCTTACATAATAATATTTTATGTTAACAGAAATTTGCCCAAATCCGTGAGACTGAGAATCCTTCAGACGGCTGAAACAATTTCTATTCGAATGAAAGAGTTGGAGCTTTGAGTCAAAAAGAAATATGTTCAACCACTCCTTTTACCCTGGCCATCTTCGGGTTCAACTAGTTAATAGTCAGTTTTATGATATGGTGACATAATTTGATTATTATTGATCGTAATAGCTTAAACTTATCTTATTCAGATATCTTATGATTGTTATTATTAACATCAATATTATAGCACCTGAGAAAAGTTTTGAGAAGTTTATTCAGCATCCAACCCTATTAACTAGTTCGTAACTAACTCATATTATCCTACATATTACGTAATTTCCGATTTACAATTACATTATTCCCTCTCACTACATGTTGACCATACTTACTCTGATCATTGTTTATCTTACAATGTATGAATTTATTCAAGTTAACACTTCATATTAGTCACCCCAACATTAACGATTTCATTTTGTTTTTTATTACAAACAATCTTTAATTCATATGTTATAATTTTAAATGATGTACTCTGCCTTAAACCTGGCCAATTTTATGGATTATTAATTTGAATACGTAATTTTAGAACCTGGTGAGAAGAACATTCTTCGTTCATATATCTGTGCTTTAATATGATTTCCTTCTTTCTAAAAAAGCAAACGTTCGTCTCTTCAGAATATGGTGTAGTACATCATTAGACTAGATAAAATGTTTTTAGTAACTGTATGCTATATTCTAAATGTGATGCTTCAACAACACTTCTGACTAATTAACTGCTAAGAAAATGCAGTATGATTGTGGAAATCTGGCAAAATCTACTAAGAATAAAAAACAATTTGGTATAAATAAGAAAATGAAAAGAATTTCTCCATCTTCAATAATATTGAAAGTTGAACAAAAACAAACCCAGTAGAACTTGCTAGATGTTCCACATCTATTTGAAATTTCTCTCGTTTATACAATCAACAAAATAAAGTAATATATTTTAACGCTTAAAAAGTACTCACAGCAAATCCTTCAAGAAACTGGAATAGTAAAAGCATTGGTAAGAGCTGACTGGCTAATGAACAAACTTCTCTATCAGGAAATAATAAGAATACAAGAAAAGAAACATTTATTTCCAGATATTTCTTAATATGAACAAGTGGTGAAAATATTCTTCTTTTAAATAATCCATGAAATAAATAATAAATAAATTAGTTAGTAATAACATGTAAACTTGATGAAACTTCTAAATTTCGAAAGAAATACGATATGTCGTTGATATTTTAGAAACCACTACATTTATTGTCTAAGTTCGTTTAGATGCGTAGAAAAAAGCGTTATTAACTCCTGTTGATCATTTTCGTGATAAAAATAAATGAACGATTTTAAAATGTTTCATCTAAACTGTTGTGCTACTTATAAGTAGTATATATATATATAAGTAGCATATATCAAGATTCTGAAGTAGAATTCTTATCAACAGAAAAGGAAAATGAAGAAGGAACAAAAAAAAGTAGAGAGCAGTCAGAATATTGCAGGAACGGAAAAACAATGGAGTTTGTAAAGGACAACTCAAGGAAGATGTGCAAACAGTGCATTTAATGTATTGTTTTCATATTTCATAAATACAGTGTGATTCTGCCTGATATAAAAAATAAATTAACCTTACTCAAGTCATTGATCATAACACTATTAGATTCTTAATTTTTATGTTAGCATTTGTACTAATGCTAATAATTATCTCATTTAAAGTAAATTAATGGGAATAATTATCACTAACAAAGCGTACACGTAACCTATAAGTAATTAGCATCACCAAAGTGATTCAAAGCCGAAGTAATGACTAATTACATTGTACCACAGTCAATATTTATTTACGATATATATTGATTACTGTTAATTTCTTACCAAATAGTGAGGATAAACATGAACATGAAATAAATAAAAATAATATATTTGTAATATCCCAATGAGTAGAAAATCCAATTTTCTACTCATTGGGATATAACAATCAACCCAATGCTCAATTTATTCGAAATTATCAAATCAAACCTTGGTAATGACACCTATGAACATGAAATGTCATTCAAGTAATAATTTCGGCACGAAATTGTCAATAACAAAATTAGTTATTTTTGTAAAACATAAAAATCGTTGCATTTTTTAAATTTTATTCAACAATATCTGCATTATATGACTTTTACCGATACATCACAAAGAGCTTATAGTTAAAATAAAAAAACGCTTTCACAAGTTGACAACGGTAATTACTTGTCTGAATGAATAGTGTTATAATTTTATATAAATATTATTAGTAAATGGCAGTGTCAAATAAATAGTCTTTATGCTCAGATTTACACTCACAGCCTTTATCATTTCAACTGAACTAAAAACCCCATTGATTTCGCAATATATGAAATACCCATTTTGTTAAGAGCTATTACACATTTTATTGATATCATGTATGGTTGTATAATATAATATACACATTTATGGTCTATATCTAATGTAGTCATTGTTAGTCCATTTAGAAATTGATTACAAATAATTTTATCTAAATAAATCTATATTTTGATATTATTATATATAAGTTATAGCTTTTAATCGAATAAAATAATAAATAACTGATAAAAGAAGTAAATTAATTAAAGTAGGATAGATATAACTCACTCATCCGATGTGAACATATAAGGAATGTAATGTCGTAAGAGTACAACAGGTAAACCAGTAAATAATGCAACTATAGCTAAAAAAATACAACAAAATATGAATAAATTGAAATATTGTTTAATTTTGTTAAACATACTTGTTGGGTACATTTTGAAACATAATGTATAAACATAAACATACTGAATAAAATAGAAAATAATTTTCTTTTTGTTTTATACCTTCAGTAAACAAATATTTATCTCAATGGTTATGATCATGAGTCACTTGAAGCTAGACCACCATGGAAAACCTGGAAGCACTGGACGGCCGTTTCGTCCTATTGTAGGACTCCTCAGCAGTGCGCATCCACGATTCCGCCTCACGAGATTCGAACCCAGGATCTATCAGTCTCGCGCGAGATCGCTTGTCCTCCAAATCATTGAGCCGATATCCAACGGTGTTAATGTCTAACATCAAGCAATCCACGACCTCGCCCCCTGCGAGACTCGAACCCAGGACCTACTAGTTTATTGATATATACGACTATGATAGAAATATTCATTTAAATTACTCATAGATATTTTAATAGTGACCATTACTATAGTTACAGTTACTTCACGAATAAAAAATACTACAACATTTCACATTCATTGAACGGGTAATTACAGATAACTTACAAATGACTGTTAACGCAGTGAAGTATACATAACGAGCACCAACTGGATCAAATGCACCAAGTCTTTGACCAACACGAATATTTACTGCTGTAAACAGTCCAAGAGGAACCTATAATTAAGAATTAATTGATTTTGTATTTATAAAATTAACAAGAAGGATCTTATAAAAGATTGAAGCACTGTTAGTAATGAATTATGCACAACTAATGATACAATCGTCATAAATTTTAGAAGACATCAGATTATAGTTCTGTCCCTCTGTCCCTCTATAAACTCTATCCAATTCTTTCAGAAGTTATATTAATAATAATAATAATAAATACATTAAATAAGAACTCGACAGGCATTTGCCATTGCTCCTTGAAGTTTAACTAATCAACTTAAGAATCGCTTATCACTAGTTTTTCATGCTAAATAGGAAATGTTTTTGTATGTACAATTTTTTCAATAATCACTCTAATATCCAACTTTAATTTGCATAGTTCTATGTCCCAGTCATGGTCATATTGTAAGTACACTAATTAAACAATTGCCCTTGAGAAATTTATAGTTCTAAAACTCCCGAAATACACGTTTACAATATACTAGGACTCTGTTTGTATGTTGGTCACTCAAGTATATTGAGTGACTTAAGACAAGGTTAAATTTTATTAAAAGAAAACAGTTCTGATTGCGGTAAATATATTAACAACTTACCATATATATTATTGACTGAATCTGAAACACGATTGCCTGAGCTCCCAGAGTTACGCTTCCAAGAGTGCCTAGAAAGTGATTTACAAGCAGAAGCAGAAGGATGTCAAAAGATCAACATTGGACACATAATTTGAAGCCTCTAAAATAGAACGTTGACTACTACCATACTGTATAAAGTAAATAACAGAGTTATACGTGCAGTAAAGTAGAATCCTCTCAAAATACAAGTCACATTTTCATTCCGGATATATGGTACATATATACTCATCAAACGGACTGTAGGATTACTTATCAAAGCGAATTAATAAAAAATATTTCCTCCTTCAGTGACCTTAATAAAGAAGAAAATCACCACATTCACATGATGAATGTTTTAGCTGATTTCGTTTGAAGTGACTTTACGATTTGAGGTCACCAAACATTGACAGCCAGTACCCTTTATTTCAATTTTTATAGTATAATCTGTCATAAAGTAACACTTGTATTACTAACGTTCCACAGAAATGTACGAAATAGATTTCAAAAATAGTTTTTGATGTAACTAACTGATTGGTTTAGTGGTTTAGCTACCCGTGTCACAGGTGTTTGTCATAGAATTTTTCTTAATAATTACTGTAAATACTAGAAGTTTATCTCATTATGTTGGTCAACTAAATTAAATCAACTTACCAGCCATTAATGTCATCATTTCAAAACACCATTCCTCTAGTGCCACCATTAAAACACCGGGAATTCCCAATTTGAAAAATATACTCCAATTACTGAGTGCAGAATTTAATTTGAATCCTGGGAACAAAACATATAGCTCAAACTAAGACTATTTATAACAGATTTTCAAATAGCATAAGCTGATGCTGATACAGAGATTGTAAATGGAACTATAAACTTTGAAGATCTCTGATGCACTAAATAAGTGATTTATTCTTCAATAGTTTACATCATCATTAGCTATATATATACATCCTGTGCAGATTGCCTCGATATTGCCTCACGTCACAAGCATTATAAGCAGAGATGGATGGTGTCTGGCATTTGAATCCAGGATGCTTTCTTTTGTTCTATTTTGGACTCGTCAGCTGAATGTACCTACACCTTGGTGTTAATGTTTACTCCTGGGCTCAAACCCAATACCGTTCGCCATCTAGTTACCCATGAAACTTGCGATATTTGTGACTAGGGACAATATCGAGGCGGTGCGCACAGGAAGCACATATACTAATAAGAGACTGGCCCTAAATATCAATGGGAAGATTCAAGCAAACAGTACCAAGTGAATTGGAACATCACTGCATTACACAAGAAAGTGGCTGTCTGGACCCAGTGGCTAAGTGGATAACGCGATGGCTTTTGAAGCGAACTGTAATGGGGTGGTACCGAAGTGAACGTTAAATATGGGATGCAGGTATATCTAGGTAACAAGTCCCAAATAGGACGAAATGCGAGTCTTGGATTTCACTACTAGTCACCATCCATCTCTGCTTATGACCTTCATTTTAGCAAAAAGACTTTTAAAGCACTTCATAGGGTTCTATGAAAACGGATTTACGCCCACATTCTCAGGTGACAAAGCGGTGTGTAGTTCTATAAAAATTTCTTCAATAAAAAAGTGAATCGGCTTCACGAAAACTCAACACACTTCCCTTCCAACTCTTTCTATTTAATTTTCAATAGCTCATGTGGGCAGCCAAGATCATACACAGGATTTCTGAAAGGCTTGTTAGCATGAATTGTACCCGAGAACACTTTTCATAGGATTATTTCGAAAATAAGCTTTATTTCATCCCAGATGTCTTATGCATTTCATTGTAACAATTTTTGAAAAATAATATTTAACTACTGACAAGTAGTCAAACTTATTTTCAATAGAGCTGCAAGTATGAAGATTCGACATGACGCCAGCTTACAGTAATTAGACAAGTCACATTAATTTTGTTCCACTATGAAACACCACTACTCAGTTCTAATTATCCGAATATAGGGTCTTAATCTGGCTGTGGATAGCTAAATGGCTTTCAATAATCGTTATCAAGAAAATCAAATGATGAATAAAAGTTACTGAAGCAAATAATAAATTCAGCGGAATTCCAAAAAATCAAATAACTTTTGAACAAAACATTGAGTGTTTTCTATTGTCTTCTAGAGCTTTTTTCACGTTACTCAAGATCGTAAGGATGATCTTAGAATGCTAGTTCACTTTGATTATACCTATGGTTACAGAATCCGTCAAAGCAAAGTAATCAGTAAAAACTATGTCATAAAACAGCTACCTCATCTAAGTTTGGGTCTCTCCAGTTGTGCAAACTAGCAATCCTGTCAGCGATAGGGACCAGCACCTTTTTAAGTGAGTTACTTCTGAATAATTGAATCAGAACTCAGTGTATCATAGCATGACAATCGAGTAATCCCACTGACGAATTTCTGATTGACGCTTGATTTGGTGGGTATCTACCAATCACAAATTTTCACCAGAACCTCAAGAATCTATCGTAAAGTCATACACTTGTGATCATACAATGACCGTTATGTTTAGAGTTTTGAGAAATTAGTTAAATTGCATGATAATTTTTTCTATGGATTAATAAAAGTGGAGAACTATGGGCACACTATATTGGATTCAATACGTGGTAAAGTTTAAATGTTTGTCAGTAACGGCAACCATGAAAAGTTAAAAAATATACATTAATCTGGCAGTATTACGGAGTTCGAACATTCCTATAAGATATTTTACAATATGTAGTAACATTTCATCTGACCTATTTATGATTACGAAAATACATTATACGAATAAAATTTACTGAAAAAAAAACAATGAAAATGAAGAAAACAAAAAGGAACATTTATAATGACTTTAGAATATGTTAATATGATTTAATAACTATAAGGTCAGAAATGATTCTTTGTAAAGGGACTTACAGACCCCATGACTATTACATTTAGTACAATAAAGATTTTTAGTAACTTTTCCACATTTTTATTTGTAAAAAGTTACATGAATGGTTTTCACGGTTTTAATTCATTTCAAATTTTAATAGTTGAATTTACGATTCGATGTAAGTTAGACCACCGCTGAAAACCTGGAAGCACTGAATGGCCGTTTCGTCCTAGTATGGAAGTTCTCAGCAGTGCTCATCCACGATCTCACATTCAGAACTCAAACTCATTACTTTCGGTTTCGCGCGCGAACCGTTGACAATAGACCACCGAGCCGGCATCCAACGGTGTTTATATCGAACTTCGATCTATCCATCTGACATGCTTAGGTTTTTACCTTAACCGTTTCAAATATTCACGAATCACTTTATGGACCTTAGCGTTTATCAATTTCTTATAAACCACAGGTAAACAAGGTTAATACAGGTTATTCATGAATTTTATTTTTACCAAACTAAACTATTACTATACATCTCCAGAAACTTATAGATTGCATAATTTTGAAATGAATCATTTTGTTTTCTTTTCTGAAAAATGGTTATAAGTATCTCCTATAAAACACATAACTATGAATAAAATAGTTAGATTTTCATATTCAATATACTGGGAGTATTCAACGCCGTCTCTAAATGTTTATCTAGCTTGTTTTCATTCATCGAATAAGAGGATAAATGTTTAAGTTAGTACAGTTTCAGGTACATTTGGTAAGCTTGTCATCGAACGGGGACTTCAGTCATTCTGATAAAAATATCTATTTTCTTTATGGATCACATTTAAACAGCCCGTCTTTCCTAACGTTGACAATTCAACTGTATTCAATTTAAAAAGTGAATAAAAGTCTAATTAAATATGTAGCTTTGCTACCAATCTTCCTTAAGGAAATGAATGGATCGTTTTTGTAACTGATCAATAATGAATTCACTCATTATTTTATAGCACTTGAATGAACACAGTATCTTAGAATTACGATTAGTAAAAAAAGATTGGCAAACAAGTCATGCGACTTTTGTTTCAAAATATTTCAATTTATCAATCATTAGTATGTTATTTCCGTGATTTGTCTAGGTGGATTTGATGCAAACTAAAGCATTCATTATGATACATAACAACTGTTTATCATTTCCATGTACCAATATGATAGGATTTCATATATTGTCGTGTATTGTATCCAGTGTAAATCGCTGATATATCAATGTAGTATCTGTTTAATGTTAAAAGTTGTGAAGAGGTTGTATAAAGCATTTATTCATTAGACATCGACAGAGGTTAACCTAAATGTAAGATGGTATTTATTGGTGACATTGTGAAATTAAAGTCTATATTTTGTAGATCGTAGAGATGACTTATATGGACTTAGTTTGTGAAGAATTCCCAATAGTATTGATATTTTCCATAGTTAGATTCAACTGTAAAACGTTGTTAAAATCATAGTGTCAATTTCCCCTTAAAAACACACATTTTATACATAAAATACATATGCTATTCCATTTTCACCTCTTTCCATTTCATATTTGTGTCAATTTATCAAGACTGCTGCATTTCTTTTACTTCATAATTCAAGTATCATTTCTGGTCGATTGATCGCTTCAATATTAAAATGTACATACTGATTTGGAATAAATATTTCTCTGATGTAAGTTAGAGTTTCTATTTTAAATAATTCGAACACTTAGAAATCCATTATATCAAGCAATATTTTACCAAACTGTTCATATTTGTTTACAAAATATTTTGACAATATTTTCTATATATGCTCGTTGCGTATTACTCACTTTTAGTTCACTATATAGTTACCAGGATCAGATATTTAACATTTTCGTACAGAACATTAAACTTTAAAAAAAAATGGAATCGTCACTAATTTGATTATATTAGATAGAAGATCAGTTATTTTGACGAATTTTACCTACTGATAGTTACCTATATATTCCAAATTTTACATTGAACTTTGATATCAGATTAATGAACGATTTCATGAAAATAAATGACATCATCGATGGTGCCTACTTTTTAATGCACCTTGGTAACTCTGATAAGATTTCGGTACATGATTTCTATACAAATTCAGCTACATTTCAAATACTCCTCATTTTCTGACTCTGATATTACTCAAGGACTAACATGACTTTTAGTATAAATTTTAAAAGGGTCAAATTGTTTGTACTTCTAACTGTAGTTAGATTATTAGTGTGTATTATTCCTTTTTCACTTATTTAAATGATATACAACCACTTAAGTGAAAATCCAAACAATCTCGGTGAATTATTAATAACATTGTATAAAGTATACTTTGATAATTGAAAAGATTGAATTTATCACTTACCACTCCATGTTTCCTTATAAACTTTGGAAGCTAATATATATCCCAATTCGCAAAGAAACATACAACCAAACGATAAGGACAGGCATATAGCGGAAGCGCTAGAACATAGAAAAAGTGTGATTATCATCATTTACGCCAATACATATTGTTTTAAATAATTAAAAGTATTTGGAATACATTCTGTATATAGTTTTTTGACGAGCGTAGATATAAAGAAGATAACGTCTACTATTCAACAGTAAGTAGAAAAAATACAACTTGTTGAAAACTTCCAATGAAGTCTTCTTTTGACCTGGTTCAATAAGCATTCGAAAGATTAAAACTCAATTGCTCATAAAACATTCTTAGTCTATTTCGAAATTTTAAATTTAACCTTCCCTGCCAAAAGTACAAGTGGTTTGATGAAATACACTAACGAGCTGGTGGTGATAAAAGATAGTCTCTGAAGACATTTCTCACATGAAGCTGATGAGAGAGACGAAATTCCATTTTATATACTTAACAAAATACCTCAATGACTCATACTAATTCTAAAACTTTAAGTGAAATGAAATCAATAGTAATGAATGCAAGACATTTACCAACTACATGTTTTCATTGTTTATTGTCACAAAGCACTGCATATGTGTACCTTAATTATTTTTTGTACAGCACCTAACCCTTTACAACCTAGAAATTCTAGCGAATCATAACCAGTCCTGTTACAAAAGACGAACGCTGTATTATTTCACAAAAAAACTGTTTCATGATTCTCACAAGCACATCAAAGTTAATTTTCGTGACACTTCATCATTCAAACACCCTTCTATGTAATATGCACTACAAGTGTTTCATTTTCTTAAGTAACTTATAAATATCAATCATCTACATTTAATCTGGTCATTTTAGTTATAGTTTTGTTTATTTCATACTTTCCTACATAAAGGTACACACAAATTACAATTTACTTTAGAATAATTGTTACAATAATAATATAATAATGTAAACATAGTATTACTTCTTGAGTATATGTTATTAAACTGAAACCAAGATACACCAACCAACCATTTTAAATGGAAAAATGGATATTAGTTTTATGACGCTCAAATAAATAGTGTAAGTCTATCTGCTTTAATGAATAAGCCAATGTTCAACAGTATAGAAATAAAGGAGCTCCAGTAAAATACTTTCATGCAACTGACATATTAATCATTGGGTGAACAGTGAACTACTACACAAAAAATCATTAAAATTAGCTGAGTGATCAAATGAAAACAAGCAAATAAATTCATTTGAAATGTTCTTTAAACGTATTTACATCTCAATGAATAGTGATCCTCTGACCATTCAACATAATAATGCTACCGCATATACCGCACTTTAGTAATTTGTCAATATGACAAATTTTTATAACAATCAATTAGAAGGCTATAATTAACCAGTCGAAATTCGGAATAATTATGTTGTTCAATTAAAATTAAAGAAATGTCTCTAAAAACACTTATTAAGGCTCAAATAGGTAATACCTGATGGAAGGTTAAGTATAAATATTTATTGAAATACAATCAAAACTGATATTTACTGAACATTATATTTCATAAATATCAATGTAACAGATTTTGTAGAATTTATATTCCATGAAAACTTACCGTAGCCCGTAGTTTAAATGAACAATAAAATAATACTGTGCAAACATATTAAAAACTGTTCCTGTAAATGTTGAATATACAATTGGTTGAATAATATTTTGTGTTTGTAAGTATCGTGCAAATGTTAAAAATAAAAAATCAAACTGAAAAACAAGAAAAAAAAGGAAACAGATTCAGAAAATCAGTTCAATAATAAATTAACAAATTATGATCAAGTTAAAAATGATTGGTACATTCACATAAGTGACTTTGAAAATCGTTGAGTGATTTAAACACCACTTCACGTTATAAATCATCATCCAATTGATTTTTTTAATAAGATAAAAGATTATAAAAGTGTTAAACCACAGTCTTTATCAGGATCAAACAAAAAACTTTTGTTGAAGTAGTGTAAATATTTTATTTACTGATTTTTTTAGTTATGGAAGCCGATCTCAGTTTTAGGCTCTAAAACTACTTTTTAGAGCTCACTATTGATTACCCAAAGGTATAACTGGGGTTATATGACCCGATACATAATAAACAAGACCTAAAGTGACCTTTTGGATTCATTAATTGGAAAGTACGAATAAATACTCAAGACTCAAGCAACGTAAGTAAATATGTCCAACAAAGCAGTTACGTCTCATAATTCGTCTACTGGTAAAAAATTAATTGGAAACTATTAAAAGGTAATACAACTAAGGTATACAGTTTAAAATGGTCACATTAAAAAAGACGCAAACTCGTAATTAGAGCAGGTTTTAGTCATGTTTCGTGAAGATATTACAACACGATCAAATACCTTCAATGGTTTAATGGTTACTAACATGACTCTAAACAATCATGATTTTTAAGATGTTCTTTTACAATAAAACACAAAGTTTTCTACATATTATGCTGACAAGTCGTTCTAGGTAATTGAAGACTGTATTTTATTAAAAAGAAAACTGTGGTTCATATTGATTAGTCAGTATTTTATAAACGTTACATGCATCAGAGAATTCTAAAATGTCGTTCAAATTAAAATGTGCTGTAATAACAAAGTAATAAACTGGATACTTCAAAATATAAAAGCATTAAGTCAATTTATACGATAATAAAATACCAAGGATCAATTGTTTTTTTTTCATTATACATTACTCACCCCAAGACCAGGCAAAAAGTATGCAATATATTCTGATGTAAGGCTAAATGAAGTGTAATAGAAAACATTACATGGGTATATATAAGTAGTTATTTGTAGATATCATAACTAGCATCCTCTACTTTTATGAATTGCTTTAAAAACTAATGAACAATATTTCTTTGTATTCAGAATAAGGGTTTTTTATGAGGCCTCATGATCTTAAGACTATTGGGAACCAAAAAATACGTCTGTTTGTATTGGGTTTGAACACTTAGGCTGTAAACGTCAAAGATTATGCTTGAAATTAAACCAAAAGCCTCATTGATCCAGTTCAAGCACGGCAACTTTAAACCATTCTGTCGATACCGAGTAGTTCACATTTTTGGCCTGTTTGTAAGTTGATACCATCCTTATCAAATGTCATTTAATTACCTTTTGGATTTCAGTTTCTGTTTACTTCACATGTTACAGCTTTCCATTCGAAATTCCGAAATTCTCTTCAAGCGTTTGGTGTAACTGAGCATACAAGTATTATTTAATTAGAAGAGAACGATATGTTACCTAAACAGACCAAAATTAAAAAATCGTACCCATGGAACCTGATATAATGGTCTAAAGGTACCATGATCGCTACGGAATATTAATGTTCCACGTTTCACTTCTTATCGGATTGTCTTCAAATACTTCTAAGTAGCTCTAAATATATGTAGGAGAGTTGTCCCAAGTTTCATAATTTTCAAAGGTTTTCAGTTCATGATAACTTGTGATGAAGAATAATTATTTGAGGGTACTCCGGAAAATCTCGAAAAAATTATTTGCAACATGTCAAGCAGTGACTTGGGTCGAATCACGACTTTCACTCGAATTGAAATCTCATGTTCCACTGGCAGAATTGATACAGAAACTCAGTTTGGGAACCTGTATCAACACTTGTCGGGACTGAAAACAATCGATGAAGACAAACAAGGTTGACTAAAATTTCTATTCGTTTATATTGGCAATCAATACATAGATGACTCTGCTAGTCTCCTAGTTGACAGCCCAAAAAACAACAGGAAAATGTATCACAAAAAAGTTAAAGGAACATTTGAAGGGAAACTCATTTAATATTTAAACATATAAAGTGATCCAGATTGCCTTACGTATGTGGACTGCCAAGAATACAGAAATCTGATGTTTTTGTTAGCTCTATCCTAACGATGATCAATTCTTCATCTCACAAACTTGCTAAGTAGTTAGCGAATCAGTTAGAACCTATTTACTCGAAGTTTTCTATCCATGGTTTAAAAGACACTTTTAAATTTACTAATATGCTGAAAAATGTTGATGTTTTTGATAAATTCATGGTTTCATTTGTTATATCATCATTATTTACCTCAATCAAACCAGAAGAAACCACAAAAATCATATGTCAACATGATAAACTACTTCCGTTACAGAAAGACGAATTCAAGGAATTAATACTAATATGCGCTAAAGACATTAAATTTTGATTCAACAATATCCTTCAGCGTCAAGTTGATGAGGTGGCCATGGACAGTCAGCTGGATCCAATCCTGGTAGATACCCTAGAACAAACTGTTTTGAGACAACATTGTACGTCAGTTATGTAGACGATACATTTGCTTCATATAATGATTCTCAATATACTTCTCGTATACTACAAATTTTCCACAGAGCACACCCTATCATTAGATTTAAAATGGAAGGTAAACATGAAAACATGTCTCATTTCCTAGATCTTGGAATTGGCCACAGTTAAACTCTGCTTACATGAGAACTGTTGTCGGCGAAAATCCATATGTAAATGCTGATCAAGCAGACAAATGGAAATGGAATATCCTACGGTTAAGAAAAAGTCTTTCTTTTTAGGACTTAGATATAAAGGTGATGGAATAGCCGGAAGAAATGATTTTAGACTAAGTGCCTAATGCTGATTGTAACAATCAAATGTGGACGATTACCCACATACCTTTAGATCGAATTGTGTTTATTAGTTTAAATGCACGTGCCAAATCAAGTGGTTGCTACATTGCATAATATATAGAACTATCAAAATATTTTGATGAAAGTTCAGTATTACAGTAGTTACGTAAGAATCAAGAAAGAAATGTTGAGAATATGTAATATACAAAAAAAGAAGAAACTAGAAAATTGTCTGAATATTTTTGAAGGAAAGATTTTAAACAAATCTGAGCTAAAAACCCACTCCCATACCGATGGCTAAGGTAGTGAGAAAGGTTCACTAACTTCTTTTGGGTGCAAAGGTTAGGTTTAAGAACGAAAATTCCGATAGCATCAGTATTGTGCAAAAGACGAACTCGTAACCTATGTGATAAATATGGTGGAATATGCTGTATAACCTTAAACGCTTTATTCAAGTCAACTGTATGAAGTGAACGAAAATAGAACTCTAAATCAATCTTATCTGTCCTTTTCTCAACCAAGACGGATAGTGTTCTGCTTGAAGAATTGTACATCCAATATAACTGGTTTAACAGGAGCCAGTTTGCGAGAAGAAAAATGTTTTTTTAGTCCATACTCGTATAAAATATCCATCCAGTTTACTCATAGATGAGCGAACGTCTGAGTAATTTTAGTTCTTCCGTATTATGGTCTCATAATATTATTCTATCAATACACTTTAACTCAGTTTATTCTAGACGTTTCTAATATAAAGTATGTAGGTTTGTCCTAATGATCAATACTGTGGTTTTAGGAGAATCCAGGAAATAAATGAATTCATGTTATTCTGTTACAATATTTGTTCTTTCTTTATTAACGTTTACAGATGGGAAAAGTTGTATGGAATAACTGAATATACCTGAATATATATATATATATATATATATATATATATATATATATATATATGGAGAAACACGGAACACTTTGACTGTATAAACTACCAACCATAAGGACTTCTTTTATATCATACATATACAAAGCTTGAAACTATTCCGGTAAAACTTAGAATAATAGCATCACCTATAGAGATAGTTGGAAATTTGATTATCGATTACTAAAATGATCAATTACAGTTTTATTCACAAATGTAAAGTTAATCGTATAGAATCTGTGCCAAGAATTAATCTATTAAAACTATTGATTGGACATTAAACACTAATTATCCATTTTAATATTTACGGTAATACAAAAGAATCAAATAAATACAGACTCACGATGCAGTTAAAGGATTTTGACCAAGTAATAATAATACTGTTTCAATATTCAAATGTATACACACCAATGTCATGTACATTAGACATACAACGCATAAAGCTGTATAAATTAAGAAAATATTTTAAGGTAAATATATATGCAAATTTTTTCGATATTACCTCGTTGAACCAGTGTCCCTATGAGTTCACGATTGCGACTTCCATATGCCTAAACATTGGAAAAATGGAAATTTTAACAACACAGTTTCATATATATAATCTGAAACGAATGTGAAAATTTCTTTTCAGAATAAATTAAAATCGTTTTGAGTACAAAATTACCACAATGACGTCAAATTCAGCATTCTGTCAGTGATATCATTTAGTACTAAAGTTTTTCTTCAGTATTATATGTCTAAAGTCATGTTCCTTAGCATCGTAGATAACGATTTATCAATAAAATACATAATCCAACTAAAAATATACTAATCTCAGCTTCTGAACATCCGTAGTAAGTTTAAATCATTACAACTCCATAACTTACTCAATGGTTTCCAACTGGTTATCAATATTGATAATTTCAGCACTTTGTCGTTTGTGAATCAGTCATCATGAATAAATATTACACACTTAGATTGTAGTTTCGTTAGATTGAAAAAGAAATACATGTTTTTATGAATATTATCAAATTTTCGAATGCCGAACAAACAATACCGATTGTTATTCTAGAAGTCTACCAACTTGTTAAAAAAAACTGGAAGGTCATTAATAAGATAGTTTAATTTTTACCACTTTTGAACAATTTTTACCAAAAAAACAACAAAATTTTGGTTTTCTTTACGTTTGTTTATCGTTTCAACTAGTGTTATCACTTAAAGAAAAGTATATGAAACCTTTAATTGACTATTAGTTTCTAAAACTTCACTCTATATATATATACTAACCTAAATGATACTGTTGTACATGGTACTTATGCTGACAGATAGTAATAGTATTTAGCATCAGTTGAAAGTGGAATGCCTGGGAGCAGAAGACTGAAATCAGAAGAACAGGAAGGAAATCTGAGAGCAGTCAAAAGAACAACAGAATTCGAGGAACAATAAAATATGTAAAGGACAACGCTTAGATGTGTAAATGACGTATCTAATGTGTGATTTACATATTTTACTAAGCTATTATGTGATTCCACATTAAACAATGAATTGGTTTGCCCCGCCCGAGTTCTTGTCCACTATAAAACTATTGACTCTACAAAAAGTAAAACAGTTGACTATTGTAGATGATAAAATATTAAATCCGACTAGTTTGTGATTTTTCGTTAAAATATCGATATACCAAAATAATGATCAATACGGACTAGCACAGAAAATTTTCAACTCTTAACTTTGGGTGGGCTAACGGTGGGATATCACTGTGTCCATTTTATCCTCTACTTGTAATGAAAAATTAAATGTTAATATATGATTTATATGCTGAAATTATCTATAATGTTCCCAGTGCTTAGGAGACAAGTTACATCCAGCACTCTTGGTCACCCTTCTGTCCACTTATTATTTCATAATTAAAGTGCCATTAAAACTAGAGAATTCATTTTAAGCCCTACCTTTTATTATATTTGTGTTTTTTATGCGACATATTGGCCTATGATAAAATGATGTATTTATAAGACTTACAAATAACTTTCAAGGGCTTTAAACAAAATCCCACCACCAAAGGAACGGAAGAATTTCCGAATGCCCTGGATACAACACATTCAATACCCACTGAAAACGTTACGAGATACCTCAGTCGACTTCAGTACTCTGATTTTATTTGTTGTGAATAAGATTTGCCGAATAATAGGTCATCTAAATAATAGAATACTTTTCAAGCGGATTACAGTAGACAGATGTTCCTGGTTGAAAAATTTCATACAAGGCTGGTGAGGAAAAAATTTAAAAATAAAGAGAATTGGGCAGAAGAAATATTCTTTTCGACAAAATCATGTACTTGTTTTATGTGTTTAATGTAATCTGCCTCTAAGGAGCAAGTAAATTTATAGATGCACATTGATGTGGCCTAAAGCGGAAGTTTATCCTTAACACATTCGTGAATGTTTAGATGACCTGATATGACAACGTGGAGCTAAGCTGAATATAAGGTTTTATTCAGGAATTTTGAAATCCGTTTACTCATGAGTTTGTTAGCCGTATCTCCTTTCAATTCAATATTCATTTCTACCCTTTCAATTTTGTTCAAAAACTATTTCATTGGTTCGACCTGACTTTCGTACTATGTGATCCAGGCCAATTATGTAGTCACTGTTGAATTAATACTCACCCTTTTTTATTGAAATTTAGTTGAGTAAGCTCCATGGATAATGCCTCATTTTCATTGGATAGCTCCAATCGTGCGTTTATAGACAGTTGTTACAGTCGGCTCATCTCTTTGGAAAAATAAATTCTTGCAATTCATGCAATTGATGGTATTTAACTTCTATGCTACTGGGTTAACTGTTTACTAATGAAAATCGGATACGGACGTAATAATTGTTTTGGTTATTAACAAGGTAATAGTATATATGATGAAATTAATCATATAGACCTATGCAGTGATAAGGAATAGCAGGATAGCGTGCTTTAATGTTATTGAAAATGAATTGGAGTTATATACATTGTTTACCTATCCAAAGAGTTCCTTTGATCTATCACGTTTTATAATCTTACTCTACTGAAAAGAAACATTTGAACGTGTTTAGACAAGAGATTATTACAAATACTATTTTTAAAACTATTATCAGGTTATATCGTAGGATATATTATTATATGATTATAATGTTTAAATCTTGAAAACTTCAACTTGGTGTAGCTTTATTAAATAATAATAACAAGAAGATCTTAAGGATTTACAGAATTATTGATCAGTGTTATTAGACCCCAAATAATATAATGATAATCATTACTAGACTTAAATAAAGATTTAAAGATATGACATTGAATACTTAAATTAAAAGAATAGTAGTTTTTATTATCATCACTCATTTATTTACAAGACCTAGTTTTCTTAATTACGTGTAGTCATTTTTTTGGTTATCCCGCCAAAAACAAATTCGAATATGGTTTAAATAATGTCAATTGAGTCACCAGACATATAAATTAGATAAAAATAGAAAACATTTAAAACTGTTCATTTGTCAACTGTTGCACAGATGAAATAAGTATAATGTCAAAATTGTGTATTATAAGATCTCAATTGTCAATACACTGTATATGTGAATGAATCGGATAAAATTGAAAAGCTCATCAATAATAAATACGAGTTTATCATGATCATAATTATTAGTTTGCCTAGAAACAAATTAACCTAATCAGTAAAAATTTTAACAGACATGTCGTTTAACTACAGCATTAAATCACGGGAGCAGATAAACAATAAAAAAAATGTTGACATTTCAGTGAAGAAAATATTCTTTCGGAAAATGGCATTTTCTTGTACCGTACAATCGTAATTACATATAATTTTACCATGTGTACTACATAATGAAATACAATATTCACCTGTAAACTGTTATTAATTTCACCACAAATTTAATATACAACTTTCATTTTGCCACAACGCCGAATGGATCATGTAAAGTAATCATGTGATCATGTAATTTAATGTAACATGTGCAGATGACTGTACGCATATATTACATTAGTATCACTAGTTTGAATTCAGTGGTGAAATGACATGTCGATAACATATAAATAAAAATATAAAAATCACATCAAACAGATAATTATTACAATTTCATTTGTCTCAGACGCAGAATAACTCATTTATTGTCTGATATACGTCAACGGCTTGACAACATACTTTGGGTAAATTGACCAATCAGTGCCAATCTCAGTCTAGTTGGTGGGCTGAAATATGACTAGGTTTCGAGGTGTAATAAACAATTATGTGGTCAAAACAAAAGAATTCGGTTGAATATTTTTGGAAGCGTTGTCGACAGCGTATTCTACTCCAGTTAACCTTGTCAATTTGTGAAACATTTAGACTAGTATATAAGTCATGGTGACTAGAAACTTTTTGCTTTAGATGGAAACACTATTTGACAAACTACATTCATTTAAGACTCAAAACTTAAAACTGAAATTTATTCAAAAAGAATCGTTGTTATACATTTTGTTCTTATTCGGATCATTAATAAACCCTTGAAATAGATTAGTATGAGATCATTAGCTTATTAACTTCTGTATTTAAATGCTTGTCAGAAGAGAAGGATAAACTTGGTTCACTTTTATTGTGCTTGAGCTCATGATAATTTTATTACTGACCGTTTTGCAGCAAAAGAAAACTTTATAAACGAAGATGGATGGTGGCTAGCAGTGGAATCCAGGACGTGCATTTTGTCTTATTTGGGACTCGTCATCTGGATGTACCAACGTCTCAGAAGTTATGTTCACTATGGGACTCTAACCCGGTACCGTTCACTTCAAACGAAATCGTGTTATCCACTTAGCTACTGGGTCCTAATAGCCTGGGATGCAGGCACATCCTGCTGACGAGTTCCATATAGGACGAAACGCGCGTCTTAGATTCTACTGCTAGCCACCATCCATCTTTGATTATAATGCTTGTGACTTAAGGCAATCCTCACAGGATAAACATATGCCAATAAGAGACTGATCAATTGCAGTTCTAAGCATCAATAAGAAGATTCAAACAAACAATACAAAGTGAATTAAAAGAAATCTTTCTTGGTAAAAAGTCGAAAATAGATACCTAAGGCGTCTATTGACCAATGTTATCTATAAACCACAAACAAAAATGTCAAAAAGTTGTTTACTAGAAGTTCCTGTATTGAAATCTAAATTTTAAGGATTAGAAAATGTTTTACAGGTACAAGCTAAAGTAGTCTTTATAAATAGCAGATTGATCTTAGGAGAAATGAATATTTAGTTTCTTCATCTGTCCTATATCTATTCCTCATGTATCAAAGTACATTAATTATTACTAGTATTACGCTCAACTCTTATACATGAGTACGTGCTTATATAATTTCATCGAGCAGGAAATGTAGTAGTAAATAGTTCCTTATTTGAGACTTATTAACTTTCCACACAATAACTTTAAGATTGTGCATAGAATTTCTTCATATAGTCCATAATTTAACGTTTTAAAACAATAGAACCTATAATTATCCATCAAATAAAACTTGGTTTCAGTCTACAATAGGTTACAACCAGTCTTCATTTTTCACACAGCCTCAGTTTATAATTCACGTGATATTCCTTTTTTCCCAATCACTCCTTGGATTTATTTCTGACTGTGGACAGATTATAGTCCTATGAGTAACATTAATTTTCTCAAGAGTGTAGACTCCTCCAAGTCGAAACATGTCAACTAGTAATAAGTCTAGGTTTATAGATTCCAACTGATTGTTTCCAACCACCCTATATCCAAGTGTATTCAGAAACAAAAATGTCCTAAACTGAGAAATATTTATTTAAATCTATTAAAACTCCTACGAATAATATCCAAACAACGGTATCTATCTAACAGGAAGATTAGCAACAAAAGTGTTGGTTGGCAAGTGTTTATCAACATTGGTACTTAGTCTTTAAGTTAAATATAAATATATTAATCAAAAGCTATAGTCCAATTTACCAAGCAAGATATCAATGAACAGAATTTAAAGTTAGATTATACTGTGGAGTGTAGAAAATAACACTGATAGTTTCTAGATTAAAACATGATAATACGATTTTATGGACAACTGTCGAAGTGATTCTCATTAAAAATTATCGACACATGTTCTAGCAAATAACACAAAGCAAACGTTCATAGTTTATATTGACCTATTACCAGATCTCGCACAATGTTTTTCTGACATTTATTATTCATTTTGATAACTTCCATTTTAGTCAACGTATGGGACGTATAATCACTGTTGATAGAGCTTAATGTTGTACATAGATTAAATAATACATTTTAACCATTTCCACAGTTTGAAAGTTAACTATGAAGTAAAAAATCATTAGATTGGTATATCATAAGTTGTGAACTTTAAAAACAACACACATGAATAAATAATTTACAATGATGAATCTTTGAAAAAATTTGCTCAGATAAAAATTTGTTCCAGATTATTACAGGATTTTCACAGTTGAAATCATCAGTCAATCTAAGCTAGACCACTACTATAAACCCAGAAGCATTGGATGGTTGTTTTGTCCTAGTACAGGACTCCTCAGCAGTGTGTATTCACAATCCCACACAGATGACTATTACCCAAGACCTTCCTATTGATCGTGAGAATGCTTAATCTTTAGACCACTGAACAGTCATCCAACCGTGTAAACTTCAAGCAATCCATCATACTAAAAATAAAAAAAATTCTTTTCAGTTGTTTTTAATAAATAAAAAAAAGTGAATAGAAAATTGAAATATTTTGTTTTTAAATCAACAATAACTACTGACCTGAGAGAAAAGTGTATCACATGCACTTGAAAATCCTGTATCAATGCTTAAACCAAAAATATTGATTATCTGAAATAATAAGAAAAAAAAATTAAAATAAACAATGATAATTTGAAAAGAAAAAAAAAAGAATAACATCCAAAGGTTATTTTTATAAATTAAAATTATATGAACGCATGCCTATTGAATTATTGTATTAGATGTAGTCTGAAAAGTACACTATTCTCATCCAAAGTTCAAATAATTTTAAGAAATATTATTACTATAGTAACAATATAATGTATGATATTACACAATTTTTAGTTTATTTAAACAATTGAAATCAACCAATCATATACATAATTATGCTTTTTTTTTAATTAATCATATTTTATTAACTATCATAGTTACAAAATCTATCCGATATGATTCAGTTTCAATTTTTACTCATAAATATTTAGGTCCAATTATTTAATTTTACTTTATGATAAAGTTTATATAGAGAATGATGTTTTGTATGAAATTGAAATGTTTACTAATAAATCTAAGAGTGATTTGTACAAGATGATTCTAGAATATCAACATTCTTTATTTAAATCTAGTTATCAATCAAAATGACAAGTTTTTCAAATATCTTTATAAGTTTAAGCTGGTAGTTGTAAACATTTTATTCATTTATCTTTAAATAATCAAGCATATAAACAGTATCAGAATGGGTTTTGTGAATATTATAATAATTTTATTAGTTGAGCTCATGAGTCAATTGAAGCTAGACTATCATAGAAAACCTGAAAGCACTGGATGACTGTTTCGTTCTGTTGACTCATGATCTCAACTATTAAAATTACTATAATATGCATAAAACCCATTCTGATACTAATCAACGTATGCTCACTAGTGACTGACTTCAAGAGATATTTCTTGGAGTTCTAGTGAGAAGCAGTGACTAGTGAAGTTCAACCGGGTTTGTTGTGAGATAGTAACTCACTGAAGACAATGATGGATGTATCATTCAGTTACGTGGATTGGTTGAAATTAGACATTAACGTCGTTGGATGCCGGCCCAGTGGTCTAGAGATTAAGAGCTCGTGCGCGAGATAGATATGTCCTGGGTTCGAATCTCGCAACAGAATCGTGGATGCGCACTGATGAGAAGTCCTATACTGGGAAGAGACGGCCGTCCAGTGCTCCCAGATTTTCCATGGTGGTCTAGCTTCAACTAATTCATGATCTCAACTATTAAAAACTTTAAACAGCAGTTAATTTGTTTGAGTAATCATGAATAATGTTGTGAGATGATAGTTAATAAAAGAAACAATAAAGAAAATCCTAGAGATTATGGAAAAGGTAAACATTTTATGTAAGGCAAAGTTTTAACTGATACAAAAAAATTACAATTAAGATGGCTAAACTTACACAGTTAGCCAACGATGAAGCGTCTAATTCTTCTCGACTTAAATGTCCACAGGCCATTACACTGATTGAAGGATTAGTGAAGCGTAAGAGTTGTGAAATCATCTGAACAAAAGAAATGTTTCAAGAGAACTACAAGATTCACTTTATGTTTCTGAAATTTAAATAATGATAGGATGCAGATTAATGTGAATATTATATTTTAAATTTATTTATGATGTATATACTCTTAATGAACTGATTCACATTACTTATCCGTCTTCTTTAAAACTTTATTAGTAGTATGCAATGTTTAGTAAAAGAAAACTCTAACGAGCATTCAGATAAAGGCATTTTAAGTAATTCTTTCTTAAATTCATTATACTCTGGAAGTTTTGTGATAATTTAGTTAGATCAAAATATCCACTGGAAAATATATAAGTGAAAACTTTGAATAAATAACTGAAATTTTCACTTCCCAATACTGAAATCGTAAGCAGGATCAACTGGAAACGTTTTAGATGATTTGGATTCGTTCTTCAGATCATATCAAGAATATGTTCTAGAACTACGAAATTATAATTAAATAGATATTGGAAAACAAAACTGTTGATTAACATAAATGCACGATGATGAGCTGCTGGTGTTGTTTTGTGAATTCCGCTTCTATGTAAGACCTATTTTTCTGGTATAACTATATACTTACAGTTCATCCATTTACCAATCTTCCATATGCCATTTGATATATTTAAAGATTACCATCATCAATCAAATCTCATTTATCTTGTAACTAACTCATGTTGTGGAATGGAAACTTTTAACCTGCGTTCTAATATCCAGTGTGAAGTGGTATGGAAAAACTGTAGCGTAACTGAATGTATTTCATGATGTTTTATTTTTCTGAACCGAGTTTATTTAATCGCAAAGCTTTCATTATCATTGTGAACAATATTATCAGTGAAATCAATATATTCTGATGACCCGGTTAGTGATTGGTTGTCCATAAATATTTTGTTTTCTTAATATACATTTGGATTCCCACTGATTTATGTATTACGTTAACCTTTGATTGTGTAATCGATTAACGTAGACCGCAGTGGTTGAAAGACTGAACATATATAATCTATTAATAAAGATCTACCATGTCATCACGTATATTGATCCATGTAGGTACCTATAAACGTGTATTCAGTTAGGAAGATGTCATGATGCATGGTCTGTAGACACCAACACAATCAAACAAGCTTCAAACTCTCTTCTGACAATGCATTTAGTCTTTATTATAGAAGAATTTTCTAATGCTTACTGTTTCCAACTCTATCCAGTTTATTATGATTACTATCATTACGAAATATGACGCCTGTTCATACATGTACAAATCTATATGTGAATATCAACCCTATTTTGATTTATGCTACCCACTTCGTTCCTCAATAATTTTTAAATTAATTCAGTGGTTTGAAGATAAAAGTTATGGGAAAACCTCGTTTATAATATTGATTTTTTCTTGCTAAAAGCTCATACACCACCTAGAAGCTAGATCAAGATTAAATGGGTAACAAATGTCTAGACAAACTTTTCCTTATATTTTATGAAATGAGGTTGTGTCTTATAAAAAAGGCTCATTTATAAACTTACGGTAGGTAGTGCCAGTGCGAAAATCTTTTTAAGCTCATTGTATCGGTTACTGTTAAGTGTACTGGTTTGGTGGACTGTAAACCTAAAAGGTAAGAGCATCGAGTTACACACGCTTTATACGAGTATATTACTGAGTAAAGGTATGATTAGTGTAACGAGTAGTCTGATTAATATTGAGTCTGAATGAGCTGTTATCATGCTCAAAGAAAAATTAGTCAATGCAGTATATATATTACTTGTAAGTATTAATGTAGCGATCAACCTTGTATCATGATCATAAACCTAAAGACTTACTTCACTAAACACTAGTACACGAGGACGTAAACCTCGCATGTCGTTTATGCATGAGTGCCTCAGCATAAAAATGGCAGAATTTGCGAAGCATTTATTTCTTCCTTTCTTTTTATCCTGGTTATTCATTATGATGCAGCATGCGAAACGTGACACAAATAAAACTAATTTGAAATCTGTCAGAAGATTATTAATACGAAGAACATGAAGTTATCCCATTCATGTACTGGATTCATACTCTACTCAAGTTGGGCTTTACCTCATTGAAGCATGTCATGTTTACTTAACAACATCTAAACCCAAATAAAGAAACTTAAATCAAGCCTTGACTCAAAGTTTACTTGTTTTTTTAAAAAATTAACAGTCTAAGAAGATAAATAATAAAGGCTTCGCTAACCCTTTCAAATGGTTTACTTATTGTCTATATCTACCTTTTTATTCAACTAATATATTAGGTATTTTGCTGGTTGAATGTTTCCATTTCTCACAAGAGTAGTAGTAGTTCAAATTTTTGACAAAACTGAACCAAACATATATAAGTTACCAGCATATTTTCCAAACTCTGGGATAATTTGCCACAATCTGTCCGTGACTAATATCTAACACACACAGTAAATCATAAAATGACCTGACATATGTATAAAGGTAGGCCTAAATGGCACATCGTAGTAATTGTTGCTTCTGTTGTTCCGTGTTCTTCGCTTCCGTTTGTTTACTGTAGTTGTAGATCAATTCGTTATGGAGAAGATGATATTAAATACACAGTCTATATATCAATGGGATTTTCACTTAAAAGTTCCCTGTTGATGCCTTTCATTGATGTAATACTTGTGAAAGATGCACTAATTAAACAATTTTTTAGCTAGAACACTTCAAACAATCGAATATCACACATTTAATATTAGTTTCACTAACAATTGAGTGCAAAAAATGCGAGCTGAATGAAATGATGACTAAACAGTACATAAGTTCAACATGCATAAACAAGTGTTGTTCACCTTACCAAACATCCGCTATATGTGTAACAGTTTACTAGATACAATAAAAATAAACTGATTCTTTTATGACGTAAATTTGAGCTATGTTGAAGAACAAGCAGAACACCCTTTGTTCTTGATGCAATGAATACATAGAAGTTTTTCTAACTTTCAATAAAAATAAATAATACAACCAAAGTAATAACTAATTGATGTTGAGTTGTTTTGATTTTTGACAAGGTTTTCCTCCTAAAACTAATACTGGTAACTTGAAGAAGATATTGCGATTCTTTAAAAAATCCCGAGTTTTTTCATTTGTACCCAAGTGTTTAACCTCCTTTACGTAAACATCTATGTAGATAGAGCCAGCGACAAGCATACAGCAGCTTTATTTAGTGTGTTGTTAGAACCAACTAGATCCATTAGAAGTTCAATCTTAACCGATTTGGTGAACATAGTGCTTAGCATTCCTCATCATATAAAAGTGCGTTTAAAGTTTGTACTTATACGTTTCGGAACAAATTCATAGACATGAAAATTTCTTTTTCATCATCCTACACATGCTGTCAACCTACATTTGGACTATAACATTAATCATACACAATCCTAGACAACGGTACATATTGTTTTCATGTGTACCTTTATAATTTTTATTCCTAATATTGTTTATCATCATTCTTTGAGTATTCATTTTGTTAATTGTACCTAAAGACTCTTTCTCTACCTCCCAAATACACACAAATTCCTTACAAAACTACAGTGACCGTATAAGAACTTACGTGGCCTTATCATAGTTATTATAAAATTTCCTGCCCACTTGTTTATTTATGTGTACTTCAAATGTACTAACCACAAATGTTCGAAATAAATATTTGTAATTCTAATTGTAAAGCCTGATGGGAAAATTATATAAAATACATATCTGCTTAGATTATATTTCATGGCTATTATAATAGGAATATTCGAATTGGTAAATAATCGTGAACCTTGAACATATTGACTAAAACCTAAGTATTCACAATTGATTGATCACTGGATGGTGATCAATGTCATGCGTGTCTAGTCCCTATTTAGTGCAGATCGAATGCTATCGACCATGTTGAAATGTGGCCACCAGTCTAGGTGACTCGACACTGAGTACACTATATTTTGAGATTAGATGGTGGTTGGAGGTAGTCGACAGGAAACCGTGGACCCGGGTTTCGTGCTACTTGGCACTCGTCAGCAAGATGTACCTGTAATCTTGAGGGAACTGGTGCTCCATGGCGGATTCGACCTCGTGTCAACCAGCTTCACAGTCAGAGACGTTACCACTGAGCTATCCGGGTCGCGACTGACCTTGGGATCGAATCCGCCACGGAGCACCAGTTCCCTCAAGATTACAGGTACACCATACTGACGAGTGCCAAGTAGCACGAAACCCGGATCCACAGTTTCCTGTCGACTACCTGCAACCACCATCTAAAACCTAAGTATCTCCAACCAAAAGAACAATATAAATTATTAGATAATATGAAATACTATTGTTCATTCATACATTCATGAAAATCTACAGCTCATAATTAACCAGATAGGAAGACAGATTTAGAACTGAAGACATGTAGAAAAATCTGTGGTCGATATTTTTAAGATGAATTACCATTGTGTAACGATATACTTTAATTCTGTATGGGAGGATATTGATTATCAACAAACATTTTGGAGATTATTTCGATGATCATGGTAATGACAGTTAATATTTCATTAAATGTGATGTATGTGTTGTTGAATAGTCTCACTATCAAATAAGAATGATTAAATTTTAGTAGTTCACTGAATTCAAGCAGAATTTTTAAAAAATCCTTTTGTAAAATGTTTAAGAAAAATGTAATTCAGCTGCAGTAAGTATTTGTTGTCTATTTTTTTATATTCACACAATAGGACGAAACGGCCGTCCAGTGCTTTCAGGTTTTCCATGGTGGTCTAGCTTCAACTGACTCATGATCTTAACCATTGAAATTAAAATAAAATTATTTAGAAAAAGAAAGAAGTTTAAATGATTACACTTTAATGTAACTCCTTAATGTGAATTAAGTTCCTTTTAGAGTTTTTATTAATTAGTAATTTAAAAACATATAATCACTAGAATGTATAACACTTTCATTGACCTTTGTAGAATATGAAACAAAATGTCAACATTTCATCATCTATAGATGAGTTTCGGACTTATTAGCGCTCATCAACATAATTATCTTACTAAACCTGAAGTACCTTAAGTTTTTTTGTTGTTGAAACAGTACTATTTGACGTCCAAGTTATACACTGTACAGTTAAAGTATTTAGCTTTTTCATACACATAGTTCCCTTTATTATCTTAAATAGAGCAAGAACAAAGGTGGGAGCAGAATAATATGAATTCATTTTATTTCGTTAGGTTCTCATCAGCTGCTTACAACCTAAATTATTTAAAATTCAACATTATTACAGATATTGACATATTTATACATAAGAGTGTGATTAAGGATGAATACATGTGTATCATGATGTAGCGAAGATTCAGATAGAGTTAATGAGCTCATAAAATGTTTGATTCGAATAAATAAATAAAGTTTGAGAGGGAAAGTTCCAGAACATTGAAATAGTGATTAGAACTCATGAAAATTGATTAATGGTAATAAAGAAAATATGAATTGAAATCAATCAGTTATGTATGATGTAATTTATATTTCAGAAAGAGTTGCAATAATGACGTAATAAATAAATAAATAGGAGCAAATTAATAGAAAGAGTGGGGGTTATTGTTACCAGGGTAAAGAAAGATTTATTACTGTCTCTTTCTGGATACATAGATCTGGTTTTAAGCGTTTGATTGCTAACGCTTCAGCGAATTTCAAAAGGTTCGAGTTTGATTGTTTGTTAATCACCTTGAAGGACTTCAGTATATCAGCTTTATGTCCTGTATCAAGGAGATGTCTTGCGATAGCACTGTTGAATGCGTTCAATCCATTTAACCTTAAACTTTTCGGAATATGTTCTTTGAATCGGACGTAGGCTCTCCTTTCTGTTCTACCAATGTAACTGCTTTGGCAGGCACATGTAAATTTGTATACACAGTTGGTGGTAACATGAAAGGGATACCTGTCGACTTTTGATTGTGTCAAAGAACATGTTGTTTTGGACAGGACAATCGATTTCGCTGCAGGATAAGTTCTTGTCAGTGCAGCTTTTAGCCTCATATTGATTGATCCTGTGACATCGTCACCTTTGAATTGAAGTTGAATAAAAATAGGCTTTTTATTTGCTGTAATTTCTTTCGGTTTTTTATCTTCACATTCGCCGTATTTCTCAATAAATTTCAGTGAGTATCCGTTATTCTTTAAATATTTCTTAACATTCACAACTTCCTCTTCTAGTGTATCGGAAGTACATATTCTTTTTGTTCTGTGAAACAGTGTTTTGACCAGTGCCTTTTTGTAACTGATTGGACAAAAACTATTGAAATTGAGATAACTACCATTCCATGTGTCTTTCTTATAAACTGAACGTTGAACTGTACCATCTTTTCTTCTTTCCATCGCGATATCGAGAAAATGGAACTTGTTTTCTTTTTCATGTTCCATAGTGAAATGGATATTCGGATGTGTTTCGTTGAAAAACTGTAGCAGATTTATTGCATGTTGTTTATTATTACATAAGATGAATGTATCATCAACATACCTCGAATAATACATCATCTCATCAATCGCTTCTTTGAGCTTGGATCTTTTGAGGTTAGCCATGAAAATATCTGCTAGGACAGGACCTAACGGACTTCCCATCGCTACACCGTCGGTTT